CTAGCCATGGTCTTCGAGTTGTTGTTGTTGTTATGTGCCTTCGAGTCGGACTCGACTCATAGTGACCCCTCCTTGGGTTTCCAAGGCAGTATCACTACAGAAGTAGATTGCCCAATCTTCCTTACACAGAGTGGCTGGTGAGTCTGAACTCCCCACCTTCTGGTTAGCAGTCAAGTGCCTTAGGCGCTACGCTACCAGAGCTCCGGTTCACTTGATAGGCTTGTCTGTTTGACTAGAGGTATGCCCGGAGGTGGGTCAGATCCAGGTTTGAAGTGTATCTTCAGAGCCATAGTCTTGGGGGTTCCACTAGTCTTTCTCAGATCAGTAAGTCAGGTATTTATTATGATTTTGAATTTTGTTCTGCATTCTTCTTCTACTCTGTCCAGGAGCTTCTGCTGTGATGTAGCCAGGCCCATTTGATTCTCCTGCTCTCAGGGCAGTAGAGGCTGGGGTCCATGTGGCCCGGTAGTCCTTCTGCTCTCAGGACAATAGAGGTTGGGGTCCGTGTGGCCTGGTAGTCCTGTTCTCAGGGTAGTAGAGGCTGGGGTCCGTGTAGTCCATTAATACTTTGGACTAATTGTTCCTTGAGCCTTTGATTTTCTCCCCTCTTCCCTCCTCTGGGCGGAGAGAGACAATCTTAGATGGGCACTTGCAGGCTTTTGAGACTCCCGTTGCTGCTCACTAGAGCAGGATATAGAACATTGTCTGTGTTACGCCATAGACCTAGATGTCCCCCAAGACTATGGTCCTAAGCCCCAAAGCCCAGTGACTCCGTCCCTCAGAGTGTTTGGTTATGGTTAAGAGGTTTGCATAACTGCCCCATGAATGCTCTACTATATACATGGGTATATTTGCAGCATATACAAGTACGTACGTGGAAATATTCTCTGCCAAACCTCTGTATGCTCGTGAGTTACTCTGTCCGCCGTCCCACACCTGCTCATCTTGCATAGGTGCCCGCTTAGAAGTCATCGTCTGTTGTCACTGTTGCTGCAGGACTGTGTTTGTCGCCCTAGTTAGCATCGTTGCCTTATACTCTTGGGCTCCTCCCAGGGTCGTCTTTGCCTTGGTCACGTTGTGCTGACCTCCTCCCTCACCGTGTGTTCTCTTTCTCTTCACCCAAGTTAATAATGTGTCTGCTCTTTAGTTAGCGATTTTCTCTCCCTCCTTCCATCTCAAAAAACAACCAAACTCACTGCTGTCAAGTCGATTGGACTCATAGCGACTCCTCTTTGGGTTTCTGAGGTGGTTTCACTATGGAAGTAGATTGCCCAGTCTTCCTTCCGAGGTGTGGCTGGTGGGTTTAAACTGCCAGCCTTCTGATTAGCAGTCAAATGCCATAGGCACTGCGCCACCAGAGCTCCCATCTCTGGTGACCATCAAAGAATGTTCCTGTGTGTAAACTTTTTCTTGGGTTTTTACAGTCGTGGTCTAATGCAGTATTTCTCCTTTCGTGGTTGACTCACTCCATTCAGCGTAATGTTCTCCAGGTTCATAGATGTTAGGAGGTGTTTTGCAGATTCATCGATTGTGTAATTTGTTGATCCATTTGTCCGTTGTTGGGTACTTACTTAATTCCATCTTTTTGCTATTGTGAATAGTGCAGTGATGCACATGGGTGCACGTATGTCTGTTAGTGTGACTGCTCTTATTCTGTAGGATATATCCCTACCAGTAGGATTGGTGGATCATATGGTATCTCTATTTTTAACTTTTTAAGGAAGTCCTTCTGCCTCGTGAGGTTAAAATGTGGAGGTCAGATGCCCCCACCACACCATTTTTGCACCTTCAATCTAAGTTATAACTCATTCTGTGTAATTTTCTCTTCTGGGCCTCAGGATAGCTTTAATTATGTACTGATGTGTATATGTCTTTTTACATGCATGTATTATGTGTGGGACGCAGCATACTGGGTAGGGGTGCTTAAGACCCAAGGCTCTGGAGCCAGGCACCTTGCCTGGAATTCCACCTTTGCCCCTCCCTACCTGTGTTGCCTTGGGCAGGTGACTCAGTCTTCATACCTTCTTTTCCCCATCTGCCAAAAAGGGATAATCACAGCACCACCGTTGCAGGGTGCCGGGAGGCTCAGTAGGGTCAGTAGCACTGTGCCAGCCAGTGGTGAGGGCCGCCTAAGTGTCAGCCATTGTGAACACAGTGAGTGGAGTAAGGGGAGAGGGCGTGCAAAGCAGGTGATTCGGGGCCAGGGAGGGAGCAGTAGCTCAGACATCATGTGCTTTCTTCTCTCCTGGCACAGTCTGTCCCCTTTGTGAACCATGATTGTGTTTCCAGGTCAGAGGTTGGACTGTGGCTTGTTCATCTGCGCTGTAGGGGTGATGGAGACACTGAGGGTCAGGTAGGCACAGAGAGAGGCAGCCCCAGAGTGGGGCCTGGTGCGTGGGAATGCTCCGCAACTATAGGTCACGTACCTCCCTCTCCCACCAGAGCTAAGGCCCCCATGTCACCCGCACATACCTGGCGTGCAGTGAATACCTGTTGTACGAAAGCGTGAGACACACACGGGTCTGGTGCCTATCCTCTGTCTCTCTCCGCGGGGGCGGTGCTCTGAGTGAAGAGATTGGTCCTGTCCTCCGCAGGGCCACAGGGGTCCACGCTGAGAACAGGGTGAGCAGGGCAGGGACGTGGGCTTCCATGGGCTGGGCCTTGGTAGGGGAATGGGGTGTTCCGGGCAGAAGAGGGGACACCATTTCTAGCCTGAGTGGCTCATGTGGGGAGCACTTCCATTGTGGCCAGAGGGCAGGCCTTGGTGGGGGGGATATAGCAGAGGTTGAAGGAGTAGGTGAGGGAGGAGGTTGGCTTGGGCCCAGATGAGAGAGGGCAAGGCCACGGCAGGGGCCGTGGGGGAGAGGTGGGTGTTGAAACCACAGTTCCTGTTGTTGGGTATTTTCTGTGTCATAGGCCCGGGGTCAGGCACGTTACGAGTTACCACATTTATGTAATCCTCATGGCCCACAGTGCAGTAGGGACCTCTCGTTTGTCTGTTTATGTTTTTCAGATGGGAAAACTGAGGCTCAGAGAGGTGAGGTCACATGCCCAAGGCCCCACAGCTAGAGAGTGGCAGAGCTGGGACTCGCCTCGAGGTCTGTCAACTCCGCCACCTGTCTCTGTGCCTCTGCCGCTGCCCAGCCCGTGTGGCCTTGGACAGGTGCTGCTCCTCCCAGCCCCCTGCTCCCTGGCCCACGCCTGAGGGAGGGTGTGGCCAGACACTGTAGAAATCAAGGAGGTGGGCTGGGAGGTCTCATCTGGTCTCTAAGATGGAGGGCCTGGGGTCTAGTAGCTGAGGCCAGCAGGCTTCCCTGGGGCCCCAAGTAGAGAGGGTGGGGCTCCCCTCGAGTCAGGAAAAGGAAGGGCTTGGGGTTTGAGTTGGGGAGGAGGAAGTAGGTGGTGCTGAGACATTGTTCCGGGGAGCAGGGACTCTGTTGCCGACCCGCCTGTGAAAGGTGAAGGGAGTCCAAGGCACGTGACTTTCCCTCCTAGAGCTTCAGTTTCCTCATCTGACAGGTGGGTTGAAGGTGATTGATCCCTGCCCTGCATGCTGCTGGGTGATGCCGCTGAATCCCTGAGATTCAAACACTTGGCACATCAGAGCCATTGCTGGCTATTACTCTGGGGTCCACTGGGTGCCAGGCGCAGTGCTAGCCGGTTCCTTTCTAGCCCTTGTTTAGTCTTCCTCAGTGCTCTGCAGCAGGGGTTGGGTCCTGAGAGGTCATGACAGGTCATGTGGCTAGTACCGGAAGAGTGCGGTCGGCTCTCTGTGACCCAGAAGCCCACTCTGGGCTATGGGAGAGGAAATGCCCTTTGTCAGGCACTGCCACTGCCTGGCTCTGTGACCTGGGGCAGTTCACTTCTCTCTGCCTCTCTTTCTCATCTGCAAATTGGGGATGGTAACAGGGCCTGCCTCCCAAGAGTTGTTGGTAGATTCATTGTGTTCACCTGAGTCAAGCATGTGGTATAGTGCCTGCAGGTCATCAGCACTCTGTAAGTGCTGGCTGTGTTATTTCCAGTGGGTCACTGATCCTCAGGACAGCCTTGTGTGCACAGGGAGGAGGTAGGACTGTTTCTGGCCCCGTTTGCCAAGCAGGAGTAGCCTCAGAAGTCCTATGTCCTGCCCCATGTGCAGAGTTGCCACTTCATTTGGGCAGCTGTGGTCAGAAAGGCAGAAAGGTTGGTTGGAAGCGAGGAGATCCAACTTAAACTGGCCTACATGACAAAGGGAATCGATTGTAACTGAACGTGCTGGCATGGTGTGATCCAGGCTCACGGGAGGCATGCCCTCGGCAGACTGCCTCCTCACCCTTCCTGGTAGCAGAATGGCCCCAGCAGCTTGGGGCTTACTTCCCACTCTCTTAGCAGCTTCTGTGGGGAGAGAGAGCACTTGATCCCAGTAGAGGCAGCACAGGGGCCTGGTTAGGACCCTCACCCCCAGAGCCTGCTTGGGTAGGTGGGTAGGATGTGGTTGACTCCACCCGAATTCATAGTTGGAGAACGGTGAGACTGGTTGCCTAAAGGCAAGTTCCTTTGTTCATTCACTGTTTCTTTCAACAACTATATGTTGAGCATGTACTGTGTGTCCCAGGTTACAAAACAGACCCAAAGCACATCTTTCAGGAAGCTCACGTTGGGGGAGACAGATGATAAGCGTGATAGTAATGTAAACTAGAGTAGAGTTAAAGGTGATAAGCACCTTGGGAAAAAATAGAGCCAGAGTACGGGCAGCTGGGAATGATGGGTGAAGGGCGGTGTAAGGACCTTGGGAGGATGGCATTTGAGAGAACTGAAGGATGGGAGGGAGCAAGGCTTGTGAGTGGAGCATGCCAAGGAGGTGACAGAGGCCATGGGGAGACTTACAGACTCACTTGGGTGTGGTAATTGGAAGGGACAGACTCAACCCATGGGGCGGGGGAGGAAGAGTGCCAGCCCCCCTGCACAGTGTGTCTGTCGGTCCTCGATCCCCTCACTGATGAATCCCTCTTTTCCCGCAGACATCCGGCTTCGGGTGCGAGCAGAGTACTGTGAGCATGGGCCAGCCTTGGAGCAGGGCGTGGCGTCGCGGAGGCCCCAGGCTCTGGCGAGGCAGCTGGACGTGTTTGGGCAGGCCACTGCAGTACTTCGCTCAAGGGACTTGGGCTCTGTGGTGTGCGACATCAAGTTCTCAGAGCTCTCCTATCTGGACGCCTTCTGGGGCGACTACCTGAGTGGCGCCCTGCTGCAGGCCCTGCGGGGTGTGTTCCTGACTGAGGCCCTGCGAGAGGCCGTGGGCCGGGAGGCTGTCCGCCTGCTGGTCAGTGTGGATGAGGCAGACTATGAGGCTGGTCGGCGTCGCCTGTTGCTGATGGAGGAGGAGGCGGGGCGTTGCCCAACCCAGGCCTCCTGATCCTGGATTTGGCAGGACCAACCCCACCTCCTAGCATCTGGGCTACCTTCTCCCCAGAGGACCATCTCTACACCTAGAAGACTGTCACTCCAGCAGGTCTGAGGACTGAGACAGGACAGCCAGGCCACTTGACAGCCCCTCCCACAGGATGTGGGCTCTGAGGCCTCAACCACTTCCAGCTGTTTCTTTCCCATCCTCTCCCCCACCTTCCCCCCAAGTGTGTTTCCTCAGCCTCCAGAGGCCAAGGGTACAGGCATGCAGATCCCCATAGGGAGGGAGGCACAGCCACACACTCACCAAAGGCCCCTGCACATCTGGACCCCACCTTGGGCTGCCTGCACCCACTCACTGCCCCCTCTGCGGTCTCCCTGGGCACTGCCCTGGCTACTCCACACACTGGCCTAAGGGCTTCTCTCTCAGGATCTCTGATTTTACCACCCTGACCCTGGGTCCTGGCACTAGGGTCCACATGAGGCCTGCTCACCTTGCCCATACATCTCTAGCCAGCCACAGTCCTGCCCAGCTTCCACACCACACCTGGCTCTCCCACCTCCCCTGGCGCCCAGAGCTCGACCCAGCTGTGTTACAGCATTCTCAGACCAAGGCCTGCTGTTGCCCTTGGGGGCAGGACCAGAAACAACTGCCTTAGGAAAGGAAGGCAAAGGCTCAGGGGCTGATGGGAAAGGCCTTGAACAAATGGCACCAATAAAACTGCCCTGGAAGGGGCATAAGTGGGCACAGAGAATCTGTAAAGCTCTTTCTTTATGGGATGGGGGAAGGATATGATGAGAACTGGGCCCAGAACCAATCCGAGTGTCCTGGTCCAGTGATAGGGGCTGGGGGCTGGACGGGATGCTGCGTGAAGCATCTGCTGGCTGTCACCACTGGCTTGCCCTCCTTGCTGGGCCTCAGTTTTCTCATTTGTCAAAGGAGATTCATAAACATGCCAACCCTGTTCACTCTGTTCTGCCTTCAGGGCTCAGTATCTTTAGTGCAGTGAGATGGGCCATCAGCCAGAGTGGGTGGGCTGTCAGGTTCCCTTTGTGAGCCCTTCTGTACTTGGATCCCCACTTGTCACACCTAGATACCTTCACTTCATTTGGGTCTGTGTTCTCTGAGACCAAACTCTGCTGCCCTGTGGCTATTGCTGAGGTGGCTTCCTGCTCTTTCCCCACCCCTTGTTTAAGGGCACAGGAACCCGTTTCTTACACAATACCCAGGTTTTCCTTCCTGAGGGGGAGGCCAGCCAAGCCCACAAGTTGGGGGTGCAGTGGGCAGGATTCTCAACTGCAGGTCTCTTCCTGGGGGGGGGGGGAGGATGAGCCTGCCCTCAGCACCTGTCATGGATGGTTGACCTGTGCCTTGGTGTATAGGGTAGAGTGGGAAGTCTAGGAGTCGAATCCTGTTCTGAGTCAAGTCCTGGTCCAGCCAGTTAACTTTGTGGCCCAGAACATCTTACCTTGTCTGAGGAGGGAGGGAAATTCTATTGAGCACCTAATCCAGATCTATTCAGCCACCAGCCAATTAGAACCCACCCAGAGGTGCCTCAGAAGACAGGCCTGGTGACCTAGAAGGTCATAGCCTTGAAAACCCTATGGAGCAAATTCTACCCTGTTCACTCGTGGGGTGACCATGAGTTAGAGTCGAATCCACCACAACTAACAATATTCAGCCACCCTATGTGAAGCAGGAACTTCATCTCCGTTTCTGACAGGAAATGAGGTGAGAGACAGGAAGTGACTTGTATGAGGAATGAGAAAGAAGCAGTGAGGTGGAGAGCATCTCCCTTAGTGACGCACAGCATAAAAGGAAGAGAGCAGTTGGGTTGTGGGTGTGAGGTGCTTCCACTCCACCCATCTAGTCGTCCTTTCCGTCAAGCTGGGGGTCTCTGGGCTTGGGTGCGGAGTAGGTGTCCTTTTTACCACATTCCAAGATTTGGGGCTTTCTTCTACTTGGGGTTTACTGCCCTTGCAGTGAGGGCTGATGCTTGTGCTGGGTGGGGACTGGACGGGACTCTGAGCTACCAAGTTCATCCGCCCCATAAGGATAGGCCCCGCCCCTTAGCTGCGACAGCTTCAGGCTCCGCCCCCTGCTTCAGTTCCGCCTCTCAGTCCTTGCCCCTACCTCAGCAACCCCCAACCAACTCTCTAGGCACCTCTCCACCCTTTTGGCCTCTAACAGGCTTCTTTCTCTAGCACTTGCCAACCGGAAGTAAGAAACCCTTACCTTGAGGGCAAGGAAATCCCACGTCTGCGCAGTGAGTGCCAGAAAGTTGACGGTGGCAGGAACCTGCAAAGCAACGCCCCGGTCTGGTGCGACCAGATCCTCCCTGAACGCTTGAGCTGAGTTTGCAAGAGCAAACTGGACGCCAGGGACAACGGATGGGTGCTGGAGGCCCAGAGCAGGGCAGTCCCAGGGCATGAGGGAGATCAAAGAGCATCAGATACCCAGAAACAGGATTCTATGGGGCAGGGTGTGGACAGGCTACTTACAGCTAAGGGAGATACGGGTCTGTGGGAGCTCAGAGGAAGGAGGGCCACGGCTTCACAGAGGAGAGGAGCTTGGGGCTGGCATTTGAAGGATGAGGACAGGATGACAGAGGGAGCATTCCAGGCAAAGAGAACAGCCTTTGTGAAAGCCTCAGGGAACATTCTGGAATGGGATACAGAGACACAGTCAAATCGAATAAAAAACAACAACCCTACTGCCTTGAAGTTGATTCTGACTCACAGTGACCCCCATGGGGTTTCCAAGGCTGTAAATGTTTAGGAAAGCAGACTGCCTTATCTTTCTCCTGCAGAGCAGCTGGTGGGTTTGAACCACTGACCAAATACACCACCAGAGCTCCTTGAGACAGAGTCAAAGGTAAGAGGAAATGTAAAGCCAGCCATCCCCTCATTCTGTCAGCAATCATTTACCACACGTTTCTCTGTAGGGAGCTGGGGGTGAGGGTGACAGACTCAAGCCGTGACAATTAAAAGACAAGATGATATTAAGTTGAAACTGGAGGCAGGCCCAGTGTGTGGGGCGTGGCAGCAAACGTTCTTTGAGGCCTCCCAGTGTGTGGGGCGTGGCAGCAAACATTCTTTGAAGCCTCCTGTGTGCCAGGCCCTGAGCTGAGCCCCGTGGGGACCCTGAGATGATGCCACCCAGGGTGCTGCTCTTGGAGAGCTCCTGTTCTGGTGGGTGAACCAGACTGAGACACAGGGGTCACAGCCCGGGGTGGTCAGAGCCGTGACTACACAAGAGCCAGGGGACGGCGAGCCAGAGGACACTGGATGGAGGGACCGGGGAAGGCTTCACGGATTGGGAAGGTCCCTGCTTATTCTATGAAAAAATAATACCAGCGCCACCACCAAGACACATTTAAGTAGTGAAATACAAAGTGAGCAAAGTGCATAGAACAAACATAGTTAAAAGTTTAAAACACTTGTGCCATCCATGTAAAGAAATACATGACCAGCCAACGTCATGAGACAAAAGTGTATGTGAACTGCTGTATGGAAAGTAAATTTACTCTGTAAGTTTTCACCCAAATCACAACTAAAAAAAAAAAAATGACCCATCAATATGGTGTCCATAAGAGACTCACCTCAGACACAAAGACAATAATAGACTAAAAATCAAAAGTTGGAGAACGCAAATGGCAATGAAAAAAGATAGGGAGGGGCAATATTAATTTCTGATAAAATAGACTTTAAGACGAAAACCGCCATAAGAGACAAGAATATTATGTAGTGATTAAAACAAACAAACAAAAAGAAATACATGACCAGCACCCCGGAGGCCCCCCCAGCCACCTTTCTATCAGCTCCTTCTTGCTCACAACCCTCTTCTTCCTCCCCTAACTGGGACCATCATCCTAACTTTTAGGATTTTAATAATTAATTATTTTCTTTCTTTAGCTTTCTAGTTTTACGTCATTGAAAAATACACTTACAAACCAAACTCACTGCTATTGAGTTGATTATGATTCAGACAGACCCCCATAGGGTTTCCAAGGCTGTAAATCTTTACGAAAGCAGATTGCCTCATCATTCTTCCTTGGAGCAGCTGGTGGGTTCAAACCACCAACCTTTTGGTTAGCAGCCGAATGCCTTAACCTCTCCACCACCAGAGCTCCTGTATTGAATGATATAGTAGTGCATTTTGTCCCTGTTTGAACTTGATGGCAAAGGCATCATGCCATGTGTTTTCTGTCGTGTCTGAGTTCTTTTGTTCCTCATGGTGTTTGGAAAATTCTTCCATGGAGGGCTTGTCTGTAGTGGGCTCATTTTTATTGTGTAGCATTCCTTTACAGGACATAATTAGTTTATGCATTGCACTGTTGATGGCCATTTGGGGAATTATGAATAATGCTGCTATGAACTTCCTTGTGAGTGTTTTTTTTTTTTTTTTTTTTGGTGAACAAATGTATATATTTCCTTGGGATATACCTGGAAGTAGAATTTCCAGACATGGGTATGGGTATGTTCAGTTTTAGTCAATTTGACCTGTGTTATTTTCTTTCCGATGGCTGTGGTAACAAATGCCCACAAACCAGAGGGCTTAAAAAACAACAAAATCTTATTCTCTCACACCCATGGAGGCCAGAATCAGTTTCCAAAATCAGAATCCAAAATCAGTTTTACTTGGCTGAAATCAAGATGTCAGTAGGGCTCTGGTCCCTCCAGGCTCTAGGGGACAATCCATTCCCGGCCTCTTCCAGTTTCTGGTAGCTCCAGGCAATTCTTGGTTTGTGGCGGCATAACTCCAATCTCTGTCTCTGGGGTCACGTTGCCTTCTCCTTCTCTGTGTCATATCTGCCCCTACCTACCTCTGATACTGATACATGTGATTGTGTTTAGGGCTCACTTAGATAATCCAGGGAGCGCTAGTGGCGCAGTGCCTAAGGCATAAGGTTGGTGGTTCAAACCCCCCAGCCACTCCACGGAAGGAAGACTGGGCAATGTACTTCCATAAAGATTTACCGCTTCAGAAACCCAGTGAGGGTCACTGTG